TAACTTTTTTTTTTATAAATGCAAATTAATTCAATAAATAATGTTTATTTAAAATTTACATTGATTGTTTCATGAATTCAGAATGGGGGGTGGGGTAATATCGACTTACCCAATAATATTTTGGGGTAATGGTTAAAAAAGATCCCCGACCGCATAATAATTATGTCTATATTATAGACTCACAAAACTAATTTTATTTTATGATATAATTATATAACATTTTATCTGTGAAAATTCAGTTGTGTGTACAAAATTGAATTGACCAATTGTGATTGGAGTGCTCAATTTCGGCTAAAGTAGACCGGTTTCGCTAAAAGTCTATTGTTGTTACTTGTTTTTGGGGGAGTTTGTTGGGAAAATTGGATTTTTGGTTTTTGCGAGCGGTCTGTGATGGACAGCCGGAAAACCGAACGAATCACGGCGGAGCATCGAAAAAGCATTTCCACCCCGTGTCGACTCATTTAGACCGTCATCCGTCCCATCAGACTGCGAACACCGCAGCCGTCGTCTGCATAAAGCATACACAAATATATGCTTGATGCAACAATCCCATCTCCCTCAGGGCAATGCTACGATCGGAAGGAATTGTGGAAAAGCACGAACGTCGTGTTGTTGCTGTTGCCTTTATAGTTGGAGAAAAATGACGAAGACTGGAGTAAAAATGTGCTTATTAAATGCACAGCTCGTTTGGGTGGGCGGTTGATGTATGACGTGTTTGTTTAAGGGCTTTTTTTTTGTTCCAAGGGGACGAAAAGGTAGGACAAGACACCTGTACACAGGAAGTGGGTAGCACTCGAAGGGGGAACTCAATTTTACCGGTATTTACCGGTCTACCATTTATTTTTTTCTCTCTCTCCGTTCTTCTGTTCAACGCGAACGTAATTAATGACTACAGTAATTCCATGTCTCATGCGAGCATTGCTTTCTACTTATTTAAATACTCAACTCGATATCCATCTACAACCGACCGTCCATTTCGCATCTAAATCATACAAAAATAAACACAATAAAACATTACATATTACATAAAAACTCATTTGAAACTCAATTTAATATGATTATTTTCATAAAGATATTCTTTTATTTGAATTATGAATAAATTTAACTTTTTTCTTTTAATTAAATAAGAAAATTACTACTTAATTTACATGTAATTGTTTGAAAATATTAGATTTCAATCAACATCTGCTTTAATTCCATATTTTATAATTCCCCGAATTGCGCTGAACTTTCGGTTCGTTTTCGAATTATGATGGAAAGCAATCTAAAAATGAACTTACCGATTTCATATTTGGAATTGGACCTTCGTATTAGATTGATTTCGTGCAAATCAATCCTATTCAATATTCACTAGAATCGTTGTTTTTTCATTCTTTTCAATTATCAAATTAGTTATTTTTTGTTATTTCTATTTACATTCTATGATTGTTCATTAATTTGTATAATTGATAAATACTGAAACTTATACTACATTTTACATACATTATTTCAAAAGTTTAAAGTTAGAAAAAGTTTTGAATAAGAAAATATATGATTGTGAAACTATTTTTAAGTAGGGAAAAATTTGAGAAGCACAAAATATTTTTTTTTATTGATTTATACTTAATATTTATTTTACGTATATGATAATATTATATAATAATAATTAATAATTAAATCAAAATGACATATTTTTTTCAATTTGGTTAATTTTTTTGTAAGAATTTCTAAAGTTTATGAAAAGTTAATTTTTCATGATCTCATTATTAATTTATTTGTTAATTAGAAATAAGGATTCTACTTTTTAATAGAACTAAATATAAATATAATTTTTTTTTATGGATAATAAGGATTAGGGTGAGAGAAATGAAATAATGCCATTGTTGTTTTTTTTTTATAGTAACACCAAGATTTATTCTGTACTTTGTTTTACATGACTCAACTATAGATTTGTTCTTGTTTATTTAAATGCACGTCTTCGCTCCGCCTTCACTTCGTCTCGATTTGCTTTACTTTTGCAGGAAAATAGTTTTTTTTTGTATTATTTAGTGTTTATTTTTTTTCTTATTTTTTGTATTATTATCTTTAGTATTTAATAAGTATCATTACAATTATGTCGAGAAACGAAAACAGAAATAAATTAAATAATAAATCAAAAACAAAGTAAGAAATAAAGTATTTATAAAAATCATAAAACGATAAATAACAAACGTAAACGTCTTTGAAACGTAAATGTATTTACAAATAATTTGTACTAATTCTTTCTCGTTTCACATTATTATTATTATTTTTTTGTTGTTTTCATCCAAAGCTATAATAACGAAAATCATCTGTTTTTAATATATTTATAATTATTAATTCTTCATCTTCACCATCTTTCACAATCTTACAGTAGTAATAAATATTTACAACATCTTCGAAATCTTATGTACATAATGTGGTTCACTTTTTTTTCTTCTTCTTCTTTAAATTTTCCATTACACTTTTTGTTTCCTTAACCTCTCTTCATCTCGAGATCAGGGGACGATGATGCAAATAGGATTCAGATTCTCATCTCTTGATATGTAAATTTCTTAGTTTAAAAAACAAAAAAAAGAATCTCTTGATATGTTTTTCTTTCCGCATCTTCACAATAATACCCTGTCCACAAAAACAAAAGATTATTTTACAAATTCCAGCACCTTCATGATATCTTTCGCAAATTAATTAAATATTTAATTATTTGTTAAAACGAATTGTGACATTATTATTATCAATTTTTAACGAATTAATTGACGAAATTATCATTAAAATCCTACCTTTAACTAAATTAAACTATTAAAAGTAGGATTTGCCGGGGGCTACAGGAGGCAAAACAAAGTGACATGAGCATGTTTAATATTATTGCTAGAAATCAAGTGTCTTTTTTTAGGTGGTTTAGGGGGGGAAGGAGGGTGGTTTGTTAGAGTTTTTTTTTCTCTGTTCAATTTATTTATTTACAATAGCATTGCCTAAAATATAGTTTTGTTATCATTAGTTTTTTTTTTAATTTTAATTAATAATAATTAATAAATATTGCACGTTTATTTTTTTGTTGTTGTCGTTTCGGGTTGTTTCAATTATAAATAAATACGTTTTATTTTAAAAAATAATATCACGAGAATTTAAAAATACTGATGACAATAATACTGTGCCATGGTCCAATTAGACTATTTAATTTAGTTTTTTTTATGACTAGAATTATTTGCTTTGGTAAATGACTAAAGTTTTGTTTTTTTTGTTAATTATTTATATGTACAAGTTCATCGAGAGTGATTAAATATGTATAAAAATTGTACTAATTTTTATTAAAATTTACAAGTTCGTCTAAACTCTGATGATGCGTGGATTCTCATTTATTTTTTTTGTATTTATATAATTTCATTTTTTTTATATATATATATATATATTTATATTCTTTAATTAAAGTTATGTACAGTGCTTTGAGCTTTCTCGAAACTTTCTCTTTGGGTTTGTTTGGGGTGGTTTAGTCGTCGTCGTCGTGATCGTTGGTTTTTTTTTGGATTCCTTTTCTCTGTTAAATATGCTACAAACTTAATTAACTTCTTGTTCGTTGTTAACACAGTTGAATGCTGTCGGCTAGTTCACGGGGAAACCAAAATTCAAATCAGGTCAGTGCTGCGCCGCGAACTTCATCCTCTTCTGCTTCTGCCGCTGATTGCAGAACCACACGCGCACGACGTTCTTCTTCAGGTCGAGCTTCTCGGCGATGGCCGCGATCTTCTCGCCTGAGGGTCGCGGCTGCACGGCGAAGTACGCTTCCAGCGAACGTTTCTCCGGTGCGGCTATCGACGTCCTCTTGCGTTTCTTCTCTCCAGCCGGTAGAACGCTCGGAGCGTCCGGGTCCCGTCTCTTGTTCTTCGCCTGAGCTTCGGCCTCCTCGAGCCAGGCCTGCAGGATCGGCTTCAGCGCTATCATGTTGTTGTGCGAGAGGGTGAGCGATTCGAATCTGCAGATCGTGGATTGGGAAAGGGCGCCGACTCCGGGGAGTTTCAGGTTTGCCAGGGCTTTGCCGACGTCCGCCTGCGTCACGCCAAGCTTTATCCTGCGTTGCTTGAAGCGCTCGGCGAAGGCCTCCAGTTCCCTGGGGTCCGTGTCCGCGTCCGGATGGAGACCGGCTACAGCTGCGGCCGCTGCAGCTGCTGCCATCGCCGAAGGATGGTGAGCTCCTGGATGTCCTCCGTGGTGACCCGGATGATGACCTGGTGCGTTGTGTCCGGACAGAGGTCCACCGTGGTGATGGTGGTTCATCACGTGGTTCATGCCGTACGAGTGCATGTGCGTCGGCGTCTCCGACATCGGCGTCAGCGTCGTCATCGAGGACGTGGAGATCGGATCCAGCATCTCCAGACCATCCATGTGACCCATCTGAAATAACCATCAAATTACACACATTAGTTTTAGTTTTCTCATTAAAATTCTAGTTTATTTCAAATTGAAGAAAAATCTATAAAATCATAAATAAATGGTGCTTAAAGGATTATTCTAAAATGGCAATTTGTAATTACTTAAC